TATTTTGTTTGTATTAATAACTAAGTAAATACCCTTAACAGTAAGTGTGTGATGCTCTAGAAAAAAATGAACTACCAAAAAAAAAATCGACATATTCAACAATAAGCAATGACTATCATTTACGTCAATGCCTGGTCATCGTCGACAATGCTACTTGAAAACATATGAAACGTGAAGATTTAATGTGTTTGGACAGTGACGTGGTCAAAGACGTTATTGTCATTTTAGTTTGGTCATTCACGTAAATGAACGGACGTTCACGTCATTTTACGGTTCACATAATTGACCGTAACAAACTCATATATACTGTATAGGCTAATAAGTTTTTACCACCTGTAATTGGCCTGTTAATTATTATTTCTGATCCCTGCGCGCCGAGGGATCAGAATTCTATTCTGAGTTTAGATTATAAATTTTCATGGATATATCATGTCTCGTCTCTCATTACTTGGCTGCCAGGTTACGAGTATGTCAGAATCTTCGATGATATGAAAATTTCTTAGTTCCCATAAGGCGGAATTTTTAAAAAAGAGCAATTTGCATCTAGTTAGATTTCATAAACAGCTAGATTTAACTAATAGAAATGAATGTTATCAAGATAACAATTATATTTTTGTTGATAAAAAGATTTAAACGGGTCTCAAGTATTCAATAATAAAGTTATCTTCATACTCACGATTCACATCCATTCCAACATGGTTTCAGATTATAATTCTTAATTGTAAACTTTTATGAAAATAAATAACTTTAATTCTGCTCGACACAAGCTTTACTTAACCGGGAGATGTATCAATTTTAAAAGATTGACCAGTCAAAGCAGAAAAATGGACGAAATGGAAATTATTTAAGACATCATTATTAATGTCTATCAATATTTGTTTTGAAGGTAAAATATGCTCATAAATTATCATTTATCAATAATACAATAATAAATATCCCTCAATTAGTTATGATGATTAAATCATATCGAGTAAAAATAAAACTTCTTCCATAATTTTTGAAAATTTACTTTTTATGATTTTAATTTTACTACAAATTAGTTTCTAAGATACTATAATATATTAATAATAAGTAACAGCTTCAACAGAACTGTAGATGTTTAAGAAAAACTAAAAATAACCTTTTTTTTTTAAATTTAATTTTTTAAAATATAATAACACAAAAATGAAAAGGGAACTCGGGTACATTTATCGAGAGCCACAAATAATCATTCAAAGAGCCGCATGCGGCTCGCGAGCCGCAGGTTGGCCACCCCTGTTATAGACTGTTGTGGAAGTTTTCTGATAGTGTAATATGTTTCAGTTAACAAACATTTTTATTTTAATTTTGTCATTAGTAAAACGTTTTCTGTGATAAAAATGAGTAACTAATTTAAAAATAAAATTAAACCTTATGAGCTTCTTTGGTTATTAATAAAAGCGCAACTCGACGATGAAGGGGGAAGCACATGTCCCAACGTACGGGCGCCCATGTAGATGGGTCCCCAGGCAATTGTCTTTTTTGCCCATAGAATAATGCGCCACTACCCCCGAGATATTTACATTTTTTGCACTCGGGATCTTGAAACGTCGAGAAGTGCAAAAACATTTGGGGTTTTTTTGTATATATGGATGTTCGTGTGTGAGGGAGGCACGATTTCGTTCGCCCACTTTGAAGCTTGATAACTCCTGTGTCTTTCGTCGAAATTTTGTGAAATTTTGCGCAGAGGATTGTGTATTAGGGGATTGATGCTGTTAAATTTCGAGTGGTTCGGACTTAATTAATGAAGATTTTACTCGTTATTAGCATTTACAATTTTTATAAAACTCATCTCTATCCCCAAGATTAAGCTCTTTGCCATTTTATATTAATTAATACTGTAATATCAAAAGTTTTTAAAATAAAATTTCATAACATAACGCCACATACAATTTTAAAGTTTGGCCGGAAAAGTTACGCAACTCGTTGCTGGATATATATATTTTTTTTCCACAAGCAATCAATCCTCAGTTTTCAAACATCCGAGCGATCGAATTAAACAATTACCTTCGAGTACCGAAAAATTAGTTGCATTGGCTAATGCAGGGGTGGCCAAACCGTGGCGCATGCGCCAAACTTGGCGCATTGGACGATTACAAGTGGTGCTTTAGTCAGTTCTGAGCAACATTGCCAGATTTGGCTTCTTTGCAATTAAGAATATTACATAGAAAATTAATTTTTTATAGTCTGTCTTGGCAAGTTCATTTGTTGCACAATTCGTTGCAATCAACTTTACAGATAAAATGAGTGTTCTCCACATAGTAAATTACAGTGTATGCATGTATGTTTATTTTCGATCAGTGCATAGGCGTCTAAATGACAGTGCTACCGTCCGGACAGTCCACGAGTCGGTTGGACTGCTACACCTGTTGACCTTTTTTTTTTT